AGAATTCATATTAAACTAATGCGCAACAGAAAGATATAGCACAATAAGAACTTCTCTCAAAAAATGAACATTATTACTTGCGGTTTATACGCGGTACATTTGCCGCTAATGGATCGCTCAGAGCTTTAGCTCTGGAAAATATTTGGTTACGATATCTCGATGTCTATAATCACATCGAAATCAATACAGTACACTTGCCTTTAGCCGAGAACTCTCGTGACTGCCTCGTTGGTATAGTGCTCGTAAACACGATTGCTGATCACGAGGGCCCGGGTTCGAATCCCGACTCGACCCAAAATCAGTTATCGAGTTTTTCTGTTAAGAAATTCATAGTAGCAGCCTGGAGTCAGGAAGTTGGCGGTGTCTCACCCCCGTGCCTCGGAAAGCATGTAAAGCCGTTGGCTCTGCGCCTGATCTCTCTCCGATCGTATCGAGTTACCGTCCCCTAGTCTCCGTTGAGACTGCCCGCCGTGGTCGAAACAGGTCTGGAGGACATTATTATTATTTTAATGAGTAGACATCCGGAGACTCTTTTCATTGTTAGCGCGACATTCTATCTTAGGGATGACAACGCATTAACATTTTAGCTTTTTCGCCTCGTATAATGTCCACTATTTATATTTAACGTGTTTCCTTTTACTTTTAAGTACTTTTTCACTATAATACAAAAAGAATGGCGCACTATTATCGGCTCCCTCTTCTTGTTATTGAATTACTAATTTAGCTGAAAGTGCCAGTCACGCACTGATATAACCCCGTACGCTACGTACACATGCGGGCAAATTTAAAGTGTCATAAGAAAGTACATAAGCAAACACATCCTAAATAACAGTGTCACACATAAAATCCGAAGGAAACTCTTTTGCTATCCTATCCGTATCCGACATAAAAGCCACCAAGCCGAATCAAAAACAAACAAATCTTAGTTTTGCACAAATGTAATTAATTAGAACCCATGACCCTGAATTCCTATTGGACTAAGTGATCTAGTACTAAGCCAACAAAACTATACGATTGTCAATTAATAATTTAATTTGATTAATTTATTTATTCATGAAAGAATTCCTTTTTCTCTGGATAAACTGAATCTTGTACTAGCTAGTAGGTAATAGCAGTAACAATATATCGAACATATTATATCTCCAGTGTCTTTGTGTCTATTCATCGAATGGCTTGGCGTTTTAGTTTATACGTTACCTATTTAATGTCGAATATCTATAAAAACTGACCAACCTAAATAAATTTTACCATGCAGTGGCGGTGTAAGAATATCAGCCATATCATCTCGTTTATGTCGTAAGAGGCATCAGAGGGAAACAAATCAGATGGACAGCAGCATCTTCCTAATAACGACTAAAAATAAAAAACTGCGGTTGTGTGCAACCGCAGTTTTACGTGGAAGCTATGGCAAATATCTCCCCTATTAGACTATCTATGGGAGAGGTTAATGTTCAGCAGTAGACAACGGTAACGTAAATGTTAGCTTCTAGACTTGTTAAATATTAGTCTGAAATAAATAAGTCATCAACTATCATAATCATCATCACCATTATAGCTCATAACAAGTCTACTGTTGATCATATGCCTCCCCTAAGGAATGACGCACGCTCCTAAGATACAGCCATCCGTCGACTTTTGCATTTCTTACCAGGCCGTCTAGTCGGGCGCTAACCTGCACTTCGCTTACCGTTACAAGGCTGCCACTCGAGAACCTTTCTCTCCCATCGGTTGACGGTTTATCGAGTTTTATGGCCAGCCCATTGCCACTTCAGCTTACTAACCTGTTCGGATAATATGTCTCTTATTCTGCTTCTACGTATTTAATTTATATAATGAATATTATAAACAATATTTCATATTTATAACAAAATAAATAAATTTTCTTATTGTTAGCAAATTTAGTAGTAATTTACAAAATTTTTTTGCAAGACCCATTTCTGTTTAAGGGAAAATTGGAAATCTCGACATTTGTGAGAGACAGCAGACGTGAGACCTCATCAATCATAATATGCCAATAATGTGAGACAGGGAACATTAGGACTGATTGGAGCGGATTTCGGAGGCGATCCAGTATTTCATTATAATGGTCTCAATTTAAAATTCTTTGACATCATTATTAATAATGAAATTGAAATTAACGTTATTCCTCCTGGCCTCTGTTTTCCTTTAGGCGTATGTGATCACTTTAAAATTTAGTCTGTTTACTAGTTAGAAGACTAACTAAGTAAGATAAGTCATTTTAATTTTTCAAGTGGATCTTAGTTTAATAAATTTAACATTTTTAATATAGAAAGAAAGAAAGACCGAAAGAGGAAAATATAACATATTTATTCATTTTTGCAACTTGCTTGTACAAAACTTTTTTTTTACTAACAAACTTTTTTTAAGAAAATGTTAAAAAATATATGCAGCAACAAAAAGATCACCAACTCAGCATAATGCTACAATAACTAATCCTGACGAATACCAAGGTAACATAGAAATCCTATCATCTAGTGCTCCTGTTCTGCGTATGATGATAATGTACGCATTAGTCCTTTGATGATAAATATTTTGGCCCCATTCATTCCTTCATAACATCCTAACAAGAGTCCACTGCTGAACATAGGCCTCCCTCATAGGTTGCATCATAGTGATCCCCCCTATGCGGCAATCTATCATATTAATCTGCCATAGCGGATTGTCAACTGCAGTTTTATTATTTTGAGTTGTTAGCAGGAATGAATTAGAAAACACAAATGCACTCTTGCTAAAGCAATTGTAAAGCTCTTACTAGAAGAAACTAGTCCGATGAAAAAAGAAACTAACTTAAAATCAAACTTCTTTCGTCATCGGCCGATAAAAATGATTTTATCGTGACATTTCCATTTGCCTCGAAATTACCAAAAATATTTATGACTCGGGTAAAGTAAGCGGTGTATCCCTCATAAAGTTTAAAGATTTTAATAAGCCATGTTCACTTTCTAATATCTATCGAAATTTAATTTAGATCTCACTTGAGCCTTAAGTGTTCGTATCTGCGATTTTTGATCTATTCCGGGTTACGGGTAAATTCATTAAAAATAATTTTCCATTAGTAATTTATAACAGTATTAATTTTTTTCAATATTAATCGAGGAATAATATAAATTTTACTTCAAATGTTAACCTTACTTGCATTTAACGCTCCCTGCTGTTGGAGGAATGAAGTTCTTACTCTCTGACTGATTTAATTTACGCAAGATAATATCCCCTGGGAATGTGGTGTCGGTACCAAGCTATTTCCAATTTGTTTTGTGTTGTTACTGGTAGTTGTGTCACATATTAAATGATTGTAAACTTTTATTTAAAAAAAAAGTCCCACTGGATTTCTTGTTGGACAATGCTATTTTCCGAACCAGAGGTTAATTACACAAAATAGTTATTTTCATACATCTCCACTTTGCCCGGTCTGATACGACGTCAGTAGAGAGTCCATTGATTCATATTCAGTGCGATTGGATTTATTTTTATTAATTATTAATGCCGATTACAATATGAGGTATTTTCAGATTACAATGTGGGCGTCTTCAAAGCAAGAGCGAATAGGCTTTGGTTAAGTCAGTGAACCATACCATCTTCGGCTGCATCACATCTCACCATCAGCTAAATGGGATTGTAGTCAAGCGCTAGCTAAGAATATTAGAAAATGGGATACCAAGCAAAAGTAGTCAGCCATCTCTTCTATTGAAACTAATAATATTTTTTATTGTTTCTGTGTTTTTGCGGGGACTTGTATCATTTCAAATTTTGCGTAATAAATATTTTAAAGTGTAGTCCAACAAACATGTCGTCTGCATAAAAATAATATTAATGACACCAAGAGAGTAGCGAGCTTAGAATAGCTGGAACAGAGCGATTAACTAAACTATTGCACTAAATTGCTAGCTACTTACTCTCGCACAAATAGCTCCCATCGGCGCCTCTCTGCAGTGAGCAAGCGCTCAATTTATTTAGAATATGATCGCGAGTGCACTCACTCCATATTCTGTAAAATAAACAAATACATTTTATATTATATCTAGCGCTGAAGCCCGATTGGTAGAAAAATCACAGTGGAAATTCTAGTCATCATCATTATCATTACACCCCTTCACAGGTCCACTGCTAAACATATCGGTTCTTCGTGCTATATGGCTGTCCTCTTGCAATTTCAGCTTACTAATCCATTGGGGTATATCAGTTACTTTGATTCCACTGCGAATATCATCATTCCTAAGTTTATCACGCAGAAAAACCCCGAGCATAGCCCTCGCCATAGCTCGCTGTGCGACCTCCTTTATACGGCCAGCAGTGAAAGACCAGGTATCAGATCCATTTGTCATCAATGGCAACACGCACTGGTTGTATAATCGTGTTTGTTCTGTCATAATTATGAAACATCAGCTTGGGGACTTACTCTTTCTATTCTTTTTTTATTTTTTTATCTCAAAACATTTTTATCTATTCCATTAGAAGGTAAATTCCATAACACGAAAGTGAGTCATATCGCAGCTTATAAGCCCTTTATACGTGTATTTTACAGCAAGCATAAAACTGTGAGTGTAATGTTACTTTATGACAAACACGTCCGGAGTTAGTATCTCTGTAACTGTACAGCTTCACGATAATGTACTTCTCGACTGCGCTGATTCGCGGCAAGGTTCCTTCCCTCTAGTGGGGAGAGTCCGAAGGACTGTTACTGATATTGCTGTCACTATGGTAACCAAAGTAAACAACGTATCCAGTGGTACATACATTTATTTCAAAGTCTCAACGCTATGTCATTTCTAGTACAGCAACTCAATAATGCGTATTTTATTAGGTGAGCGGCATCTAGCGTGCAATGGCGGAACAACAATACTGTCTATCTTCTACGGATACATAATATTATACTCAACATACCGCCCACCTAGAACAACATTGTTCTACACCATGTACAAGTTTCAAAATACAAAATAAACTAATGCTAATTAACAAATCGATAAACTTACATTAAAACATTATTTAGTTACTGGTAATATACAAATTTTGTTTGTCGGTCGCTTAACAACAGTATTTTTTGTCTTTATGGAGACTACGCGAGTAATTTTGTCCGGACCCGGATGTTTCGCGACTACTCTGCCATACATCCACCGACAAGGTGGTAGATGGTCTTCCTTAACGATGACAACATCGCCTAAATTAGGTTCCGTCGTTTGGGAGAAACGTTTATCGCTTTGGAAAAAACGTCGTAAATATTCAGACGACCACCTTCGCCAAAAGTCCTGAACCATTTTTTGCGTATATTGCCATCTACGCAATGAACTAATATTTGAGGATTCAAAATTCAGATCCGGAGCTACTAGCGGAGGTTCACCTATTAAAAAGTGTCCCGGTGTTAATATGTTCCCGTGTTCATTATCGTCACACAATCTAGACAATGGCCTGGAGTTTAGACATGCCTCGATTTGCGCCAAGACTGTCGCCATCTCCTCAAAGGTCAGCGTCGAATTTCCAATAACACGTCTTAAGTGATACTTCACCGATTTCACACCGGCTTCCCATAACCCTCCGAAGGTTGGGGCATGAGATGGAATGAAATGCCACGTGGTGCCGTTGTTAGCCAATGATTCGGCTACTTCTGCCACCATATTGCATTTTTCCGTACGAAACAAATGGGCAAGTTCCTTAGATGCGCCCACAAAATTCGTCCCGTTGTCGCTCCATATCTCTTGACAATGACCTCTGCGAGCTACGAATCGTTTGAAGGCCTGTAAGAAACCTTCACTGGTAAGGTCGGATACGACTTCCAGGTGTATTGCTCTAGTTGCCATGCACACGAACAGGCATATATACCCTTTATAAGAGCGGTGTCCCCTTCCTTTGGAGACCCTTAGCTGAATAGGTCCAGCATAGTCTACTCCGCTGCACTTAAATGGTCGTGTTGGAGTAACACGAACAGCAGGTAATTGGCCCATTAATTGATTTTTTGTAACTGCCTTGGATTTAACGCAGGTTACACATCTATGGACACAAGCCTTAACTAGTTGTTTTACGCCAAATATCCAATAGGTAGCATTCAGAACGGTAAGCATTAGTTGTGGACCACCATGCAGAGTTTTCACGTGAGTATCTGAGACAATTAGCTTCGTGAGATTACAAACCTTGGGCAATATGATCGGATGTTTCTGGTTATTTGATAGCTGGGATTCGCCTAACCGACCGCCCACCCTGAGGATATGTCGATTATCCAAGTACGGCGTGAGTACCCATAGCTTACTTCTTTTGTTTACGCTGCCTTCTCTTTGTAGCTTCTCTATCTCTTCCTGAAAGTGTTTCCCTTGACACTGTTTAATCACACATACTAACGCTTCTTTCAATTCATCCCCAGTTAGGTAGTTCATGAATTTTTGCCTTGAAGAGTGTCTTAACCCTAGGAACCGCCTACAACGTGCTAGTACTCGTAAGAGTCTGGTGAAAGATGAATAATTGTCCCACAGCTGCTCTTGGAGTGATGCACAATGAACGCGCACTTCTAATTCTGTACGAATATTTGGTTTTTCGTATAAAACCTCTTTATCGCGAAGGAATTCGGGGCCATCAACCCATAGATTGCTCTTTAACAAGTTTAGAGGACTCATTCCTCGGGAAGCAATATCTGCAGGATTTTGATCAGATCGCACGTGACACCATTGGCTTGAATCCGTCACTGATAAGATTTCAGACACTCGGTTTGCTACGAAAACCTTCCAGCGACTCGGGTGATCACTTAGCCACGCAAGAACAACGGTAGAGTCAGTCCAATTATGCCAGTTTGATTTGTCAACGTTCAGTGCTTGTCCGATATCCACCATTAATTTGGTTAAAAGTAGAGCTCCGCACAACTCCAATCTAGGAATAGATACTTGCTTGACAGGTGCTACCTTAGTTTTTGCTGCAAGAAGTGAAACGTTAACGTTGTCTGTTGAATCGATCACACGAAGATACACTGCAGCTCCGTAGGCAGCTTGAGAGGCATCACAAAATCCATGAAGTTGAAGTTGGGCATCGCTTGACTTCGAACGCAACCATCTAGGAAGATTAAAATCAGATAAGTCTTCAAGATTATTCCTGTAGTTATTCCATTCCAATTTTAATTGCTCTGGCACTTCTTGGTCCCAGTCTATTCCTGTAAGCCACAGCTTTTGTATTATTATCTTCGCTAAGACTACACTAGGTGCAACCCAACCTAACGGATCATATAGACGACAGATATCCGAAATAATGTTCCTTTTTGTTACAGGTCCCACAATTTCCGGTAAGGCAACGACGTACTGAAAAGTGTCTGTGCTACGTTTCCAGGTAAGACCTAGTACCTTCGTCACTTCATTCATTTTTAAATGTAATCCATTATCCTTTTCCTTTTTTCCTTTTCCTTCTAGTTTCTCAATTTCCTGAAGAATTTCATTATTATTACTGGTCCATTTTTGCATTTCAAACCCAGCTCCCTTTAATATGTCACTGATGTCCTTATATATTTTGACTCCATCCACAACATTTTCACATCCCGTCATTAGATCGTCCATGTAGAAGTCATTTAGTATTTTTTGACAAGCATATTGCTTGATACCATCCGTCACATCCCGAGCAGCCTGTTGCAATGACCTAACGGCCAGAAATGGGGCACACGCAGTACCAAATGTGACTCTTAGAAGGCGGTAATCAACTAATTCCGAAGATGGATCATCCCGCCACAACAATCTTTGACTGTCAACATCTGCTAAGTTCACTTTGACCTGCCGATACATTTTTATGATATCCGCTGCTAAACAGATAGGTGATAGTCTCCAACGTAGTATAATGTGTCTTAAATCGGCTTGTAACGTTGGTCCCGTTAACAAATTATTATTAAGCGAAACTCCATACCTTCCTTTACAGGATGCGTCGAATACCACTCTTACTTTCGTAGTATCTTTATCGCTACGTGCTACCGCGTGATGAGGTAAGTAGAGCGCCGTCTCTAGGTATTTTTGTGGGTCTGACACTCTCTCCATGTGTTGCAACTCCAAGTATTCGTTCATTACTTCCTTATATTTATTCTTTAGTTCCGTATTTCTGTTTAACCTTGCTTCTAATGAATTTAACCTTTTTTCAGCTATTTCCCTACACGTGTCATGCTTGTAACTTGGATCCTTGGGTTTGAAAGGTAAGCGAACTACAAACCTGCCATCGACATCTCGGTAAGTAGTCTTACTATAATAATCCTCACACTGAATTTCCTCCTCTGTTAACAACGGTTTAGTGGGTTCTGTATCCGACTCCAGTTCCCAAAATCTTCTGAGTAACGCATCATCATCAAGGCGTGAGTGGAACGTTACTATGTTCGACCTTGGTACTTTTGCATTGGTAATACCACCAGACAGCACCCAGCCCAAAGCCGTAAACTGGGCTACTGTTAATCCATTAGGACTCCTTTTTATTCCGTCCCGTAATACTTGGGTGTAAACTTCCGCTCCCAACAGAAGGTCTATTCTGTTAGGTATATTGTATCCTGGGTCTGCTAATTCTATTTCATCGAGTTCCAGCCATTCCATCGGTGGCATCTCCTTACTAGGTAAGAGTGCCGTGATAAGGTTTAGCACATAAGCCTTCACCAAAATCACGAAATCTGGATCAACTCTCGAACGAATCTCCAACGTAACCATTGCTCTGGAAACTGCCTTATTGTTTCCACCTATTCCCATAATATTACCCTTTATCGGAAACTTTTTAAGGTTCAGATATTGCACCATGGCTTCCGTTACGAAAGACGCTTGCGAACCTTGATCCAACAAAGCTCGCAATGTATAATTCCTGCCATTTTGTGCCTTAGCTTGCACTAAAGCAGTAGCCAACAAAACTTGCTCGTATGATCTACCAGTTGAGAAACACGTCATAACCTGACCTTGCACACTGGTCGCCCCGGATTGTCCGGTTTCTGAGCTACTTGGTTCATGATTATTGGCATCAGTGTTCGTGGTCTTACTATTTACTGGATGTAATAAAGTGTGATGACGCTTTTTACATTTATGACATTGGATATAATTTTTACAGTACCTTGCCGAATGAGTATTACCAAGACAATTAAAACATAAATGATTGTCCCGGACAAAATTACGTCGTGATTCACTATCCTTACTTATAAATTTCTTACATGAACTTAGCTTATGGTCTTCAGAACAATAAGGGCACTTAAAATTAACAACATGGAACGTTTTAGGTCTAACTTGCTGTTTTGACACATTTGGTTTATTTGCCTCTAAAGCTTCTAAAGCTCGAGCCCTATCCGTTAAAAACTTTTTAAATTCCTCAAAGGTTGGCAAAACATCAGAAGAACTATTATTGCTACTAAAGAACTCCCATTGGCGTCTTGACTCTTGATCAAGTTTTAACGATAACATATATATTAGCATCACATCCCAGTTAGATACATTTACACCTAAGTTACTTAAACCATTTAAACAATCACAAGTTGTGTCTATCAAACATTTTAAATATTGAGCCGATTCGCCAGTAGCATTACGTAAATTAAATAGTCTTTGCAAAATATTTTTGGTGAGAAATTTCTTATTATCATAACGTGATTTAATTGTTTTCCAAGCTGTTTGGTAGTTTTCCGACGATATCGGAATTTGCCTAAGTAACTGTTCCGCTTCACCAGTTAAATAACCCTTAAGGTAGTGCATTTTTTGTACGTTATCTAATGATTGACAGTTATGCACCAACGAGGTAAACAAATCTCGAAACGTAACCCACTCTAAGTAGTTTCCCGAAAATGTAGGTATAATAATTTTTTGTAATTTAACTTGTGACGAACTTGTTTTTCCTTCTGTATTCTCGCAACTACCTTCCGTTTTAAAACTATGAAGCAAAGATAACAATTCAGCCTTATAATCAATGAAACATTCTTCTGTACTGTCATATACATTTTTGACATAGTACTGACTACTCCTAAATTCTTTAGATTCCGATTCCCTAACAAGTGTTTCATGAGTCTTGTTAAATTGTTGCCATAATTCATCCAAATTAATTAATCTAATTTGTACGTAAGACGGGGTTAGTCGCTCCTTAGGCGACTTCTTTAAATTCTTTCTAGCCTTAGAAATTCTATCTGAAATATCGTCTTGAAATTTTAAAAGGCCTTCCATGTTAACAAAAAGATTATTACTCGAATTTAAATCGGATATCAACAACGAAAAAATTTCACAAGTTCCACAAAGTAAAATTTTCTAAGTCCCCTTAATTGAATTTAAAACTTTTACAAGTCCCAATATGTTGCGCGTATACAATTATTCTAAGTCCACTGAATAGATGTTAAAATTTTTACAAGTCTTTTTTATCAATTTAACTCTAGGTGAAATCCGGCATGGATTCCCCGTAACAACCAATATTACACTAAAAATTTTACAAGTCTAAATGTCATATAAATATTTTAAGTAAACACTACTCGAAATTTTAAAGTTATTTTTTACAAATATTTAGAGTTCAAATTGGCAAATCACTTACAATATTTCACTCCGTTTTATAAAGTTTAAATTGGAACAGACTCACAATTTCACCGCACGATGTCCTTACACCGCCACGCGTCGCTGGCGCCGCTGACGTCACCGCTCCTCCTCCCTTGCTCCTTGGCTCGTCCGCACCCCGTACTGCCCGTCACTCGCTGGCGAGTCTTGCACGGCACCCGTGGAGGGCGGCTAGGCTCGTCCCGATACAGCGATCCACTGCCAAGGGTACGAAGGGGGCAACAGGGTTCCCTCCCTGCTGATGATGCACCACTTCTTGCCGCAATCCCGTTCGAAGGACCAATGTACAGCTTCACGATAATGTACTTCTCGACTGCGCTGATTCGCGGCAAGGTTCCTTCCCTCTAGTGGGGAGAGTCCGAAGGACTGTTACTGATATTGCTGTCACTATGGTAACCAAAGTAAACAACGTATCCAGTGGTACATACATTTATTTCAAAGTCTCAACGCTATGTCATTTCTAGTACAGCAACTCAATAATGCGTATTTTATTAGGTGAGCGGCATCTAGCGTGCAATGGCGGAACAACAATACTGTCTATCTTCTACGGATACATAATATTATACTCAACAGTAACAAAATGTCTACAAAAGGCTTTTCTCCGCTACGTAGCCTGAATTTTCTTTAATAATGTCTTGTTGAGAAAGTATTTAGACAGTATTTCTTAGAGATGAGATAAATCGTACACTTCTTACTTTATGTAAAATATTTACGAATATCTTAAAAAATTGCGTGGTAAAGCCACGCTGCGTCTATATTATGGTAGTAACACGAATGGGTCGGCTCGACAGGGGAAGGACCACGCTCTCACAGAATACCAGCGTAAAATAGCAGTTCAATGCTATTTTACGCTGGTACCAGGTGGGATTGTGGTCAAGCACTGGCTTATAATAAGTAAAAAAAAGGTCAAAATTTTGACAGCTCCATAGAAGCTTTGCCTCTGAACGATTTTCTTTACTCTTGTGAATGCGCACACAACTATAAACGTCTATCATTTTATTTTCATATACAACAATAATAACAATAAAATAACTAGAATATAAATAAATAAATATAGAAATAAATAAAATAAAAAACGTTTTGTGTAGTATCAAATTATTTCAAGCTCTGATTTTCAGCATTAGAAATGAATAAGAGTTTAGATGATGTGCGGTCACGCCTACAATCCGTGGGTTTGAATATCACGTAACATCGATATATATATATATATATATATATATATATATATATATATATATATATATATATATATATATATATATAATACGCACTAGATTTCGCATTCCGAACATTGACTATGTTCAACTGAACTGTACTGCACTCCGTACATTAAACTAAATATTGCTTCAATTGAAGATTTGTGAATTCCATAAGATAATTATTATTACATTTTATTTAGATATGTTTTTTTAGATTAAAATTATAGTATTTTATATTAAATTCTTATATTTATTTTATACTAGATGTTCCCCGCGACTTCGCTCGCGTGTTAAGGTTTGTATTTTTTTTTGCACGGAACCTTAATTCTGTTTCTGAAGTAAATGTAGCTTAAGTTACTCCTTATGACACCTGCTATCTGCCAGTGAAAGTCCCGTTAAAATCGGTCCAGCCGTTTCGGAGATTAGCCGGAACAAACAAACAGACAGACAGACAAAAATTTTAAAAATTGTATTTTAGTTGTTTCACAGCACTCAATGTTGCAGGACGACTAAGGTGTGTTTCACGTCATGTCATACATTTGTTCAACCCAGCCCGGATAATCTTAGAATTTTACGTGAAGACCTTCAGATTTTTTTAATGAAATAAGTGTTTTTTTTTTACTTTTCAGAAAATGAATATAATATGTAGTGAGGAGGCTCAGGAGCGTACTTTGTGGCAATCTATCGGAGAGGTCTGTGTTCAGCAACGGACTTATGATGGGCTCTATTAATGATGATGATTTTTATTGCTTGGAGAACTAACAGCTTAAAACCAATTATTGCAAGGTCATTTACAAGTTTAATCTTTGCCTATATTTAGATAGATTCAACAAAAATTTGCTGAATCGCTTGAACAAGTCTTCTACTACTAATATACTAAATACGTGACTTGCCATAAATTGAGAATTTGTTTCCTATAATAAAAGGTACTTTATCAGAAGTGGTATGAGAATAACATAGGTATTTTGATTGATGTTCACTTAAACGGAGTGCTGAGCCTGCCAAATCAAGGGAATGTAAGCGATTTACCACGATATTGCGTGTGGAAAGTTTACTTGTATTTAACTAGTGAAGATCGATAGAATCTTTACATGTTCAACGCTTTATTCTAGAAAGTGGTTTTAGAAGTGACGAGGCTTCATTTATCCATTTAATAATGTATAACTAATAAGCTCTATTAGACCAATACATATAGTAATGTAAACTTTTTATTCAGTATAAATTATAAATAATACTTATTCAAAGTCTCTTATTCATAATTTACCATAATTTTTCGTAGTAGAGCCATGCTGCAGCTATAATAGTAGTATAGTTGTAGCACGAACGGGTCGGGAAGGACCATACCAACTTAAAATAGCAGCTCAACGCTGCTGTGTTTCGTATGGTGAGTGTGGGGAACCGGAGACTCTTTTTACTGGGAACGAGGCATTCCATGTTAGTCCTTACGGGTTACGGCTGACAACGCATCTGCATTTTGGTCCGTAATCGAGGATAGATGTAGATGTCTGTGGGCCGCAGCAACCACTTACCATCAGGTGGACTGTGTGCTCGTTTGTCGCCTTTTTCCTACAACAAAATCTAACACACATCACGGAAGAACAGGCACGAAACCCAGCAGGACAATTTCACTAATTAGTTTCGTACATTTTTGTGTATGTGCTTAAACATACAGAACAATTTGTAATTAAGTACAATAATACAATTCATACATTATAAATTAATATATAAAGTTAATGAAACTCAAAAGTATTTAATTATTAAATTAGTAATATCAAATATTAAAACAGCTATACATACCTATTTATTACATTCATGGAGATTTGACGAATTCTTTTGTTTTCTTGTTGCCGTCAACATACATTTCATTGTTAGCTTAGTATTTACTTACTTTCACTCTTGAAAAAAAGTATGTAAGTTTTAACGTTAATTAATTATTTTCAGTATATTTAGTTATCTGTCGTGTGGAGGCGGTGTAAGAATATCCACTACCCCATAACATATGAGGCGACAGAGGGAAACATATCTGGAGATGGCTAGTAGCGTATTCCTAATAACTACTAAAAATAATAAACACTGATTGCGAACCCGTTTGCCAAGTACCACCCCTAAGAGGCAATCTATGGGGGAGGTCTATTTTCAGCAGTGGACTTTAAAATGCTTTAACGGTAACGGTGCAGATATATTGGTGAGCACAGATGAACCAGTACTAGTAAAGATGGGTAAAGGCAGCATTATACACTTGCGTCACTCATCCTTAGTCATCTGTAAAATTTACAGTAAGTATTTTTGGATATAGATAACAATCTGTTAATTCGCCATTAAGGCGAATAAATTAATTTTAAGTAAACTTGACAGATTTGAAAATTTTCAACCCGCTTTCGGCTTAACAGCAATTTTCGGATAAGATGCAATCTAATACTTTTGTCAGTTTTTACCCAAAGTTAGTAAATACGTTTCTAAGATTCCAAATAATGGCTTTACAAAGGGGTTTTGTAATATAAGACGTTAAAAGGCAAACAAAACAAGGGAAAACAAAGGAAAGTCTGCACCGCCCGCCGCGACTACAATAGTGTTGTCATTCACACGTTAACTCAGTCGTCCAGTGCCACTGTGAGCACCTCCATCTTCTTATGTTTCATCTCGTTTATTTTCTTAAACACAAGATATATAATTGCAATCCGATCATGATAAAATTAACATCATCATTACCGTTTTTACAGCCCTTCACATATCCACTGCAAACATAGACCTCAAACAAGCACAAAGCACGGTCTTGAGCCCCTAGCATTCATCGACATCCTGCATATCTTACCAGAGTGTCACTCCATCTAGTTAGGGATCACCCTACACTTTGCTCGCCGGTACGAGGTTAAATACAAGTATGCGACATAAAAACTCGCTTATAAAAGCGTTTACTGCTGGTTCTTTCGGTTCTCATCGGACGGCTAGGGTTAGGCGTCGTTCGCGTTCCGAGCCGAAAGTGAAATTATTTAAAATTTTCATTATCTCTTAAACTATGCGTCCTAATAAAATACTATAAATGTTATATTATGCCTAATAATAACGCTCATACTTTTGTTTTTTTTTTTGGCACAAATTTAACTTTTTTTTTTCCAAAATACCTTCTTTTTTTTTTTTATAGGAGAGGGGGCAAACGAGCATGCGGCTCACCTGATGGTAAGTGACTACCGCCGCCCATGAACAACCGCAACACCAGGGGAATTGCAGATGCGTTGCCGGCCTTTTAAAAAGGAGTAGGCTCTTTTCTTGAAGGTCCCTAAGTCGTATCGGTCCGGAAAAATCCCTGGTGGTAAACTATTCCACAAGGAAGTTGTGCGAGGAAGAAAACATCTTCTAAATCGCACAGTGGTGGACCGCCAATCATCCAGATGGTGTGGATGGTATCGGGAGTTCTGCCGCGAT